GCTTCTTCTTCCTCTTCGATAGTTTCACTGAAGTATAGTGACATGCCGTCAACTGGACATATTTAAAGTGTACGATGTGATGTGTGAAGACGTGTGCACCCCCATGAAGTCCCCACCCCGACAAGCGTGTGTATCACCTTCTGACGTCTGCTGCTGCTGTCCTCTCTGTTACTTTTTCATCTTTGCCGGCAGGCAGCCGCTGTCAGTTCTTTGACAGTATAGAGTAGTTTGCATTTTCTAGGATTACAGACATGGCATGAATCACACAGCAGGTATATTTTTTTCTTTGTTTTTACTCCTATAACTTTTGGGGATTTTCCCATCTTGTTGCATGTATCAACAGTTCATTTGTTTTTATTGCTGAATAGTATTTCATTGCATGGACATATATACCACACTTGATTCACTCACCTGTTGATGAACATTGGATTTATTTCCAGTTTTTGGCTATTGGAGTAAACTTGTTATGAACGTTGTATACATGATACACTTCACGCAGGTATCCTTAAATTTGAAATCTAAAATGAGATTCCTTAAGTTATGGGGGGGGTAGAGCAGCGAGGCACAGTTAGAATGTCTCTCAGCAGCAGTTAGTACAATCCCAAGTTTCTTCAGTCCTTCATCAAAAGGTTACTAAGTGAGGAGCATCATCTGATTTTTTTAGTTTCTCTCTTCCTCTTGCCGCCATCCATAGCATGGCCTCCTATATCTACTTTAATGCTCCTCTGTGTCTGAGAACCTGCCTCCTCTTAGTGAGCTCTCTGCATTTCACTGTGTTCTCAATGGCTCTCCCATTTTTCTTTCTTTTTTCTCACTTACAGTTTACACTCAATATTATATTAGTTTTAGGTGGACAGCATATAATCTCCAAAGTAATCCCCCAATATTTCTAGTACCCACCTGGCACCATAGATAGTCATTATAATACTATGGACAGTATTCTCTGTGCTATACTTTACATCCCTGTGACTATTTTCTAACAATTAATTTGTACTTTTTGATTCCTTTACCTTTTGCATCCTGTCCCTCAACTATTGCTCAGTCAGTTTATCTGAATCTGACTCCATTTGCTGACGGGTCCTCATCTGGTCACCCAGGCCTGACCTTCATGCCCTCAGACCTCTGCACCCAATAGAAACCAGCTGCCTGCTTGAGGCACCACTGCCTGAAATTTTTGGCGCTGATCTTCAACTGCCCCTCACCATCCCGGCTCCTGCTGCTAGTCAGGCTTGTGCTGTCTGATGACTCCCCTCTAAGAGTACTTTCTTCTTTATTCCAACTCCCAGGCCTTGCACCTGGCCCGTGTCCAGAGTCTTCAATTTGTGCTGTCTGAGCCAGTCCAAATCCCAGTGTGTGGCCAGATTTGCGTACTCTCCTGGACCTGACTACTCTCTGTTCTTGGAGAACTCCTGCAGACAGAAGTGCCTCTGTCTTGCAACAGGCTTGGTTCCAAAGGATTATTCCTAAATCCACATGTTCCTGCAGGAAGACCATACCAGCTATGCTACTGCTGTTGCCATCTGCTGGAGGCAGGCAGAGTTGACACGCTGTTGTGCTGTTTTCTGGTTTGGTCGTATTTAGGGAAGGTTTCTACTTAAAATCCTACATAGAAGAAGGTCTGCATCTGCACTTACAATTTGCACTAACTCCCAGACCCATGTTCTATCTACTTCATTATATGCTTCCGTGACACTGACCTCTCTGCTTGTTTCATTTCCACCTTAGGGCCTTTGCATTTGCTGTCCCCTCTCAGAACACACACCCACAGATCTTTGAGCAGCTGGCTTCTGCCATTATTCACGTCTCAGTTAAATGTAATTACCTTACAGAGGCCTTCCTTGCCAATGCTATGTGTACCCGACTCCACCTGTCAATCACTGTCTTACTCTATTGATTCTTTCATTCATTTATTCCATGTTAATTGACCTCTTCCTCCTACACACACCCACATATGAATATAAGTGCCATAAGAGAATGGGGCAAGGAGCTTGGAGTACAGAACAATGCTTATATGGAACAAAAGAGATGTTCAGTGAATACTAGTTTAAGTAAATACAAAGAGTTCCTCTGTCTACCTGTTGAAATCTTACCTTTTCAAGCCTAAGTCAAATACTATCTCGTTAAGAACCTCTTCAACTAGATTTGTTCTCTCTCTTTCATAGCACTTTTTATTCTGTCTGTGTTTTGTATGTTAAGCTGCCATGTTCTCATTCTTTGTTTAAAACATGGTAGATGCAGGGACCATTGATGCCTTCTTTTAAAATACATTTCAGACTTAGGGACACAGCAGATACTGAGAGGATTTGGGGGCAGTCATAAATAAAATCAATCATGTTGTAAGACTGTTGATGATTTTATTCTTTTTCTTATTATGGAATATGTAAGGTAAACAGAAAAGGATTAATAATATTATAAACAATACTCACGTACCCATCATCTGCTTTAAAGATTAATATTGAAGATACATTTGAAATCCCTTGTGTGTGATATTGTGATTTGTAAGAAATACATTGATGACCCAATACATGTTTCTCATGTACATTTCTTTCATGGTTCCTGGCTCAGGGCTTTCAAAACCCTTGGAATTTTCTAGTGATTACAGCAATAAAGTTGTCTTTTGTTGTATTAATGGGTGACTTTTTGAATTCACCTATGGATGGGGCTAGTGGCCCGGGGAACCCACCCTTTGAGTAAGGGGGGTTGGAACTTTCAGTCCCACCCCCCACCCCCCGGGAGGAGAGAGGGGCTTGAAATCACCCATGGCCAGTGATTTAATCAATTGTGCTATGTAATGAAGCCCCCATACACCCCCCAAAACAAGGGTCAGAGAGCTTCTGGGTGGGTAACCTGGAGACTTGGGGGAGCTGCATGCCCGGAGGGGCAGGGAAGCTCTGCATCTCCATCTGGCTCTTCCTGAGTTACATTCTTTTATAATAGACTGGCGGTCTAGTAACTTTAATTGTCTCTCTGGGTCCTGTGAGCCACTCTAGCAAATTAATCAAACCTGAGAGGAAGTCATAGGAACCTCCGATTTATAGCCAGTCTGTCGGAAGTACAGGTAACAGCCTGGGTTTGCGGCGGCCCCTGATGTGGCAGGCGTGTGTTTTGGGGGGGATATCTTGTGGGACTGAGCCCTTAACCTGAGGAATCTGAGTCTGTCTCTGGGTAGATGGGCAGAGAGTGTCAAGACTGAGTTGAATTCTCAGATCCCCAGGAATTACTTGTTGGCGATGTGGTAAACTCCCCTCAGGCTTCCAAGTTGAAACTGGGTCCAGGAACCTCAAAGACCGTCTCTCAATCCTTTCTCCTCCTCTCTTTCCTGAGGCAATCGTGATTCTGAATTTGGCGTTTGCCATCAGAGTCTGTGTGTGATTGTGTGCGCAATGTACCACTGTCTTGGTATGTGTGTGCTTGTGTGGGGATTCATTTGTATCATAGTGTCATTCTGCTTATTTTTAAGTAATTTATGGCAAGGGTCATTTTACATCTTAACTGTCCCCTCATCATTATGTTTTTCAGATTATCCATGTTGAGACATGTAGTTTTAGAATCTGGTGATGAGATCATTCACATCAATTGCTGTGTAGTATTCCTTTATATAACTATTTCAGTTTCCTTGTTCATTATCTTCATGAATGGCATTTAATTTTCCATTTCTACTCTTACAGACAATACTGCAGTAAACATTCTTGTAACATTATATTTCTTGGTACGCTAGGAGTTACTCCAGTGTTTCTGTATATTGAAAACATAAGTTCTGGGACAGAGACTATAAACATTATGTCACTGTCATGAAGAACAAGGCAGAGAGCCAGGCTGCCTGGGTTTGAATCCTCCTGCTTCTCCACTTGCTACCTTTCTCAGGAAGCAATGAGCACCTGCTATTTCCAGCTCTTCTCATGAGCATGCAGGTCCTGTTTCCACCCCGGGAATCAAGGGGTCAGCCTGGCCGAAGTCCTCCCGGCTGTGGTGTGTCCTTCTGCAGCCCGTTCCCAGCCGCCACCACCTGTTCCCAGAGCCAGACACGCCAGGCCTGGGGATTCACACGCGGTCTCTGCCTGGCATTTCAGTGCCATTTCTGGTCCACGTAGAGCTTCATTTTCAAGACTGCAGATATTTTTCAGTTGTGCCTTTTAATACTTTATGTGCCATCACTATGCATTTGGAGCAGAGGGAGTAAGTACTTCAAAACATGAACTTACAGTCCCCTAACCTTTTAAAATAAGCACGCACCTTAGAATCATCTAGTCATAGACTTTTGGAGCTAGAAAGGATTTTTGAGGTCATGAGGGCCAATAACCTTGTCTTATGGGTGAGGAAATTGTTGTCTCAAGAAGCTGAATGACTTACTGATGTCCTATCTCTAGTTAATGGTAGAGGCAAGACCGGAACCAAAACCCATGGGTTCCCTCAACAGTCCTTTTGCCATTACATTCACCATCATGGTTTTCTCCAAATTTCCATCTGATGTTTTTATTCTTAACAAAAAATCAAAAAATAAATCAGAACTTACAGATTTATAAAACTGATATCATATTTTTACACTGATAGAACATATTTTCTCTCAGAAAATACTGAAGTAGAAATAAGAGTACAGTATTGAACTAAATACACTTTATAAGAGTACTGCATTGAACTAAATATATTTTCATTAGAAGGCACTGTGTCTTCTGACTCTGTAGATTCCTGCAGCATTTGGTTTCCTTGACTTTTTGAAACTTATAAGAATGGGCCCATCAATAACAGTGCTGATACCTCCAGCCTCCTACTGTATCGGGTCCGAAAATGGCCTGTGATGGATGGGCACGGTCGGCACGGACAGCGAGAGGCTGTATTTCTGCTGTCAGGCAGAAATGGCAGGTAGTTTAATTTAGGAAAAAAATGACTAAGAAAGGGCAAGTGTTCCTTCTAATTAGGATTTATTGACTTTTTAAAGGATATGACTTTAGAATCTGGTATGTTTGTTAAAGCCTTTGGAATTGTTTTATTCTATTTCCTAGATCTTTTAGCTGTGCCTAAGCATCCGTATGCTGCTATGGAGAACTGGGGACTAAGTATTTTTGTGGAACAGAGAATACTGCTGGATCCCAGTGTTTCATCTATTTCTTATTTGCTGGATGTCACCATGGTCATTGTTCATGAGATATGTCACCAGGTATGTGAAAAAGGATCAGGTGTAAGTACGACAGCCAACTATTGAGAATGCAGAATGATTTCAGATGCTGAGATTAGGAGCTATGTTCTTGTCCTCCCAATTAAGTTCTAATTGTAGACAGAGCACTGTGTGGCTCTTTCTGGAAGACACATCACTGTTCTCAGGGGACAGCCTAAATGAAATCAAATGCACTGGGCATGTTGGATGAGCAGCTGTCCTTCAGTGTGCTGGAGAAGTGGGATGGCCCTGCCACCCGGCAGCCCCGGTGGAGACGCTATCCAGTCACTGTTCCCTGTCAGCCTTGCTTTCTTTCTTGGGGTGATTGGTGTGTACATATGGTAAGTACAGTGATAGCGATGATTTATTGCATCGCTGCAAGATGCAGCTGAGTTTTGTGTGCATGTCAAAATTTGCCTTTGCTGAAATCAATTTGTTACTCCCATTTCCCCATCACGCCAACACTTAGGAAGTCTTTCACTAACTCAGCCATAGACTCTTTGTTCTCCAATGATTGATAATTTTTTGTCTTGGCATGTGTAGGAATTCATATGTAAATGAGTCAACTTTGTAGTGAAGCTAAGATAGAATTAATTTCATTTTGATTTTATGCACTTTCTTACAATGAGTGGAAGGGATTACAGAGGTTTTGCAGTGCTTATCTGAATCTTGATTCTAGAGAAAGAAATAAAAGACTTGAAAATAAACATTCATGCTATTTAATAGAAAGCAATGCTGATCCTGATTATTGGTAACTATGGCTAGTTTTTAAGAGGAAACATAAGCAACCTCATACGTAGGACTTCAATTTGTTATAAACCCAAAGCCCTTTTTAAAAAGCTAACTAAACTTAAGAAGGAGTGACGTCGAAACTGCTGTCAGATAAAGAAGCTGAACTGCTAAATGTTAATACATGAATGCTGACTTAATGATGGATTGGCCGAAGCCATACAACCATTTACCTAAATGTCAGCCTTTTGCAGTGAACCTGTAGGATGTTTGTACCTGTCATGCTGGCCAGGTTGGACATGTGTTCCTTGCCTCAGAGACTTAAAGGGACCCACTGCAGAGATACCAGGATTTCTCTGATGTGCAAATGAGAAGGGTGGCCAGCTAAAAGTATAATTTTTTTGAGACAAAAGCAGTTTTCTTTTTGGACATTCCTAGGAACAAGTTACATGTACAGTTCTGTTGAAATAAGAGTCCATTAGTAATGTTTTCATTGTTCCTGCAACTGATGTTATTTGTTGTTTGTTCTAAATTACTAGGGGGAAATGAATGAGCCAGATGCTGAGAGAAAAATATAACAATTTTCACTATCATTACCAAATTATTTTCTGCCACCTATTTATTTCACAGTTATCTTTCTTTTATATTATAAGACTGTTGTGTGTACTAAAGGAATAATGTACATCAAGTGCTGAGGTGGTTAGTGCTTAATCACAATAAGTGATTATTATCCCCAAATGAGAGTCCCAGCAAAACATCCCAGAAGTGGGTACACATGGTCATTCTCCACACCCCAGAGCAGTGGGGTGAAAGGTGTGTAGGCACAGGCTGGTTTTAGTGAATCTGCTCTTCCAGTTCCAGTTTGCATGGATCATAAACCTTCTTCTGGTGTCTGGGCAGATGGCATGGTGGAACAAACTTGTCTCCCTTCATCGTGACCTTGCTGGTCCTTGTTGTCATCTGGGACACATCTTCTCACCAGTCTACCTCCCTCAGCGGGGTCACTCTCCAAGGCTCTATGGCCACTCTGACTTCTGAATTTAAGAACCTGTCATCTCAGCCACATCACTTAATAGCTGCTAAGTTTCTTAACTCTTCTGTGTCTTAGTCTCCTGTGTAAAATGGGGCTAAAAATAGTACCTACGATTTAGGGTTATGGAGAGGACTAAAGACGTTTTTTCAAGAAGAGCGTTTAGAATACTGGTGGCCACATAGTACATGCTCAGTAAAACTGTAATTACTGTGATCTGTCTCCACTGCTGCTGAAGCAAATTCCCTGTGGCTTCATCTTCTTTTCTGAGTGTTCTCTGTCTTTCAGCCTGCTCGGTGGACCTGGCAGGCCCCTAAGGCTTCTTTCTTGAGTATCTCAAGGTCTAGATAGAAATAAACACTCTCTTGTCCCCATCCCCTTTTGCTGTTTCCAAAGCACTATCAGCCCCTCTGAAGTTCATGTTCTCACCAATTCCCCCCATTTTCTGTCTTGCTCTTGTACCGGTTGTCCCTCACATTAACGCGGATCACGTGCCTCTTCTGCTTAGCGCCCCTTCCGTGGCGCATTGTCACAATCCTGAAGACAGGCTTTCATTTGGATCAAGCAGAAACACTCATTTTGATCAAGAATACAAAAATATTTTTGGTATCATTTATTTTGTGGTCATCGCCATGTTCCGAGTTACCTTTCATTTGTGTTCCAATTAGAGCTCCTCTTGAGCGATGCTCTGATTTTCACACGGAAACACTCAGTCACCAAACTCTCTGCTGTAACTCCAGGAGCTGTGCATGACTTGATATTTGCCCACCATTTCCTTCCGTGTCTTAAGTATCTGGCTCCCACTTGGAGTGTTCACTTCAAGGGCTGCTTAGATCTGCATGGAATCCGATTGCCTGAGGCTACTTCGTAGCTGCCTCCTTTTCATCATTAAAGTCTGAGCTGAAATATCACCTGCTTAGAGAGAAGGTTTTAGCTTTTACAATCTAAGACAATCCCTCCCCACTTCCTATCACACTTTATTAGGATTTGAACTTGTGTTGTTCATTGGCTTGTTTATTTTTTATTTTCTGTCTCATCTCTTCCCCCAGCTCCACAATAAAAAGTGTCAGCTGTATGAGGAGAGGTGTTATCTGGCTTTTCATCATTGAATCTCAGGTCTTTAAGATAGCTCCTGGCATGTAATTATTTTTTTTAAATGAGGAAGGAATTGTTTTAACCTTTTGCTGAACCTAATGGTTTCACAGTAAAGCATCATGTTCTAATCAAAACACCAACGAAAAATTACAACATTATTTTTTTATTGAAAAGATCTTAGTCAGTTCTTTGGCTCAACCCCTCATTGTCATAAAATCCTGGCGAGACAGGGGTGGAGCCTCTGAAAAGCCCTCAGTGTGATCTGTCAGCCAGTATTTGCTCTGAACTGCCTCCGTCTCGGGGAGGCGATGCTCCAGTACTGACTGTGACGAGTCGCTCACTACCTCTCCAGGCGGCGTTTTCCTGCTCCGCCCTCTCAGTCTTTGGGAGGCATTTTCAGAAGACATCCACCAACCCTAATTTTCATCTGCTATTCTTGATTTGTTCCTGACAGGACCACAACACACAAGTCTTTTCCTCTACTACATTCTAGGTCCTCGACTCTTTGAAGACAGCTGAGATCATTTTTTTTTTCTCCTGAGTCCTTTCTTTTGCAGGGTAAATTTTTGTGTGTGTTTGTGTCTTTGATTATTTTACCTTTGTTCGTCTCTACATACATTTATATAAAAAACTACTCTTATCCAAGTAGTATGAATAAATCAATAGTCTTACCACAGCTCATTTAAGATGCTCCAAATCAATTGAAGAGTGAACTGCAGTTATGATAATCATAGTTTAATACATTCAATTTCAGATAAAATTATTCTGGGATAGATTTGATTTGATTAGATGCCCATTCATTTTGTCAATGCAGTGGTTTGGAGACCTCGTGACCCCGGTGTGGTGGGAAGATGTGTGGCTGAAGGAAGGCTTTGCTCACTACTTTGAATTTGTTGGGACAGACTACCTCTACCCTGGCTGGAACATGGTGAGTGTGCTTTTCACTAACTGTTGATGACTCCCAGTGAAAGATTGCTCTGAGGTCACAGTAGGATTTTTAAAAATCATTTAAAGTAACTTAAAATGCATATTGATCGATGCATGGAAAAAATTAGATGTCCCATAACATGGTCCAATAAAATAAGCAGAATTTTAAATTTGTATTTTGTAATTTTTAATTTGTCGTTTAATTTGTACACTAAGATAGTATTCCCAAAGATCTCTCTTTAAATGATTAGAACTAAAGAGTTTGATTTGTTATAAGTTGACTTCAAAATGCTACTACTTTTCTAAATAGAGATAGTTGAAATTTATTGCAGTATTTTACAACAAAGACAAACTATCGCTTAAATGGAGAATGTAACAGTAATTAATAAGTGTTATTTTAAGTGTATGGGGCATTTCAATATATAGAAAAATGAGAACTTAGTGTTACTTCACTGCGATGAAACACAGAAACGAGCTAAGCTTGTTTATGCACCACTGTTGTAGATACACTTGGGGAAGAAACGTGGTCATCCTCAGGTTCCATGGCCAGGTCACCTGCCAAGAGGAGCGCATTTCCGCGATTCTTATGCAATACTTTTATCTTTGAAGTTGGGTGTTTCTCATGTTTCCCTCCCCCCACTTCACTGATTTTTGAGGAATAGAATGAGGAAAACGCAAGGTAATTTACAGTAGTCTTCTTTCACGTAAGTTTTCAGATGTTGCTTTCCCTAGAGAATTTGTTTCCATCGGAGCAGAGCGGGCGATTTCACTTCCATGCAGTGTGAGCCGCGCCCCTCCCGGGGAAGCAGGCAGTCTCGCTGTGCTGACGCAGGGCTGATGTGTCACAGCGAGGCCAACTGGTGGCTGCTCGCGGGACGGTTCTGCAAGTCGTGCACACCACACCCGCCCTCTGGGAACACCCCCGCACGTCTGAACCCGAAGGAGGGCTTGCTGACCCTTAGAGCATCTCAGAGACAAAAATGGAAGAAGGGTGTGATTTCCATGTGTATTGAATATAAATTTTTGAAGTTTTATATAACACGGCCATTCATCAATAGTGACTATGTTATTATTAAACGGAACCTAGGATGTATGTTGTTTTGGAACTCAAACTTTAAATTTATTTAATGTTACTGTGTGAAAGATGTGGAAGGTCAAATTTTACCTTTGAAATATCACAGGTGATAATGTACAGGTTGCGAAAAAGGAGGCTTATAGTTCTGAGTACATGAAACGTAATTTATTCTTATATTTTTAGTCTTGTATTATGTATTTTTCCATAGGAACAACTGTAAACCTATGTTGGCTTTCCCCTGTATATTCATTTTATACCACTTTTTGATGCATAAATTATTAATAGTAAGTAATTGTTTAATTATGTGTCATGATTGCAAGTATTATTCGAAGAGCACATAAGCCCAGGTGAAATATGAAGATGCTGTAAGTGGTGAGATAACTTCTGCCAGGTCTGCTCAGGAGAACATGTGATCTGACCTACCTCACCGATAATATGTTACAGTGGTATATATTATATTGTTATATTTTAATTATGTTCATGCAGTTCTGTCTGTATTTTGTAAAGGTGATGTGGTTCGTTTGCACAAATGCATGAGATAATTTTACTGAGCCTTATGCATCTAGGTGTGTATGTATATATGATACAGTTTTTAAAATCTTACTTGAACTGTTTTATCATGGTATTGAAATTAATTAAAAATGACTTTAAATAATTTTGAAGAAGAATCACTAATACCATGTAATATTAATTATTATAAATATTCTTTCACAAATGTAAAATTTGAAACTTACATGTTTAAGAATATTGAAACATTTCCACAAACATCTTTTGGTTTCTGAATGACTTTCTGCCAACTTTCCTTAAAATTTAATATTCATTATGCTGTGGATTATTGCTGATTTATAATTTCATTATATTTTAATATTAAAACATGTCCTTATTACAAATGACATGTTACTCACATAGGTAAGCTTTATTTCCCAGCTCATTCAGCTAGCTATGATAAAATCCTTTCTATTCATCATTGTGAAAAATGCCCCTTAGATTAAAAAGTAATCAAAAAAATTATACATGGGGTGAAAACTGACAGCTTTCAATGATGAAACCATTTTTAGGACAATATATCCTAAGTTTCAATATCCTTATACCGGATTTTTTCTTTGAATAATTTTTTATATTCCTGTATCATTTTAATCAGTTAAGTTATAAATGCATGCCTTCTAGAGAACATTTTTGTAAATGCTATTAAATATGAACAATCTGAGACTTTGTTCTTAATAGAACACAAATCATCCAGTAAAAGTATAAAAACCTCTATGGTGGTAAAATGTAAGATTTTTACTTTTTATAAATCCTAATTTCATAATTAAAAAGTGGTAATTAATATTGCCACAAGTACAGTGACAGAGAAGGCTCACCCTATCAAAGTAGGAAATGAAGATTAAACTCTATCACCATTAATGAGGCAATAGGGAGGGGAAACCGGTCTTATGATTTCTCTATGTTCAGGTTGTAAAGATTATAAATAAATACTTCTGATCTTTGATCGTTTTTGCATTCTAGTAGCTTTCATTAATGAGTTTGTAGAGTACCTCAAAAGACTCAACTTATAAAGCTTATAAGCAGAAACTCTAAGTAAATTGATCTTCTGTATATCATTAATATCTCCTTTGCCAACAAAATTTTAACAATAAGTTAGCCATATAAATAAAAGAGGGTATTAAGTGACATTCAGGCTGTACCAGCACTATTTTTCATAATGGCATCAGCAAAAGAGTGAAAGAAATCCTAGGAAGGACAAGAGCGATGGCTGTGTCAGCAGTTACTAATGCTCCTGTGATATGCACAAAAGCTTATCTAGGGAGCATGACTTGAACTTCACTAGAGCTTAGCCTGAAATAGGAAAACCAGGAGTCAGGCTCATGTCAGGAGTTAAGAAATGCAGGAAGCTGACTTTTTTGCCTCTAATCTCAAAAACAGTACTTTTATTATTTTTAGACACCAGGGCTCAAGCACAGACATAATATTTCCATTTGTTAGGGAGATTGCTATTGCAACCTACTTTCAGTAGAATAGCAGTAAAGAAGCCCAGAATTGCATAGTATTGTTAAGGAAGATCTCGTATTGTTTTAGGCCAGTGTACTTGTTTAGGCTGCTTAACTATTAGTAAAGTCTTAGCTTCTGTGTGTGTGTGTGTGTGTGTGTGTGTGTGTGTGTGTATGTGTGTGTATGTGTGTGTGTGTGTGTGTGTGTGTGTGTGTTTTCAGAGCCAGTTTCCGATACAGAAGTAATCAAGTTTTTACTTTAGGAATGCTATATGGAAAAAAAACTATTACAATAGTTTTGTTCCCCAACAAACAAATGAAGTTTATCAGTTTGTGGATAGGGGCCTTTAAAGGTAGTAGGATGTAAGGTCAGGGGAATGGATTGGAAAGAAGAAATTCAGATTCCAGGCAAAGCATTGCACTTCTCTGACTCATCCTTATCATTTGAAAAATAGGGCAATTGTACAGACTTAGCAAGCTCACATGATTTTGGCGAAGATAAAATAACTTGCAACATCTTTGAAATGTATAAACCACTACACAAATGTGAGCAGGCATCGTGATCCTAGGAAATGAATGCTCCGTGAGGAAGGTGCATTGATTTTAGGTATAGATGCCCTAATATTTCCAACCCCAGTAGTCTATTTTGACACTCAAGATTTATAGTAATTTTATATAGATTACAAAATAATGACTATAATCTTTGTATCTAGACTCAGTCTCATTGAATCAGTTCTTATTTACATTGGCAACATATACTATTCTGTAAGAAAAGAGGTTTTGTATAATGTTTCATTCATTGGAAATAAGAGTCAAGTTCATCAGAAGCAACTTCTTCAGCTCAGGGCTAAGGATACATTTCATAATGTGAGTAGGCATTTTGCTTGATGTTATTTTGTCAAAGCTGGCTGTTAGAGACATTATTGGATGGTTCAAGTTACAGTATGCCATTAATGGCAGGCATAGTAAATTTTACTATATTTCTTCAAAAAGGAAAAGAAGTCTTATGGCACATAGTTACTATTCTTTAATAATTCTTGATCATTTTCTGCTATGAAAAAGTCTATGATAAAGCTTTTTCTAATTTCTTTTTTAAAAGGTTTTATTGATTTATTTTTAGAGGGAATGGGAGAGAGAGAGGGGAGAAACAATGTGTGGTTGCCTCTCATGCGCCTTCTGCTGGGGGCCTCACCCACGACCCAGGCATGTGCCCTGATTGGGAAGCAAACTGGCCACCCTTTGGTTTGCCGGCTGGTGCTCAATTCACTGAGCCACACCAGCCAGGTCTATAATAAAGTTTTAATACAGGAAAAGGATATGTAATTAAATAATACTGTGAAGGATTCCTTACTTTACCGACCTGGTACCAATGCAGACAAAATCATATTCCTTGTGCATAATGCCTAGGTTTTCATTATAATTTATATCTGTATTATAGGTGTGTCCTTTGGTTTCCTGAATATAGCTTTGTAAGGACATGCTGCTATAATGAGAATTACTAACCATGAGTATATGTTCTTTTATTAAATCAATTGGGATGCTATGGAGCTTCACACAGCAATAACTTTATGTACCAATAAAGTATGCAGACTGGAAATTCTCCCTAAATTTTTATGAGGACACATACCTGGGCATTAAGATGCCTATTAATGAAGCATCATGCAACTAAACTTGATTATGCTAAATACTTGGGATATCTCAAAACATATTACCCCAAATCTTGATGAATGCTCTCAGTTGTCTCTAGCATGGGCAGGACCAAAAGGGTAAAAATGAATTCTGCCATTAGACATGGCATCATTTTAATAACTTTCCAACAACAATTACTTGCAAAATTTTACAGGCACTGCAATGTAATTATCTTACTTTTAAAATTATTTCATTTTTATTCAAAAATAAGTTGAGAAAATCATTGGTGCAATGAAATAAAAACTGCAG